AGCGAGAAACTCACTCACACAGCAGCCTTTATGACCGGTGTCTGCCTTCCACATCTTACTCACCTGGGAAGTCCCCATCAGGGTTATCCCCTCCCAGGTCTACACCAATCTTATCCGGCCGAGATGCTCCCCTTCCTGAGGATGATCACCACACGGCTTATTCCTCGAGGCACGCATCACCTAGGCGGTCTCGTTTTTATCATTATGGAGCTCCACCACAACAGAACCCATGGCACCCGTACTGGCCTTACCCACCCCCACCTTATCCACAATGGGGACCCTGGGAACACTGGGAGTCACGTGGACAACGCTCCCCAACTCACTCCACTCCATCCCGGAGAAACTTATCTCGGCCGCAGTCATTACCTCCAGCAACTCCTTTGGATGAGGTGGTGGACCGAATCAGACACTGAATCAGACATTCATTCAATAAATGTCACACATTCTGATGCTCCTGAATGCTTCGGCACCGGCTTTTCTTGCCGTGCCGGCTGCTTGGAGCGCTCCCTGGGCCGCTCAGCTGTAGCGCGCCCCGCTGCCGGGGCGGGGGGGGGGGGTGACAATACCAGTTGCTAAAAAATCTCCATCCCACATTACATAGCAAGATTGCCCTCCCTATAGACGAGGCAATAATGGAGACCTCGGAAGACCTCTGGAAAACACCTGTATCCATTCAACCAACGAATAAAAGAATCGATAGGAAGTACTTTGTCCCATCAAAAGATAACGACTTTCTCTTCACACACCCACAACCTAACTCATTAGTCGTAGACTCAGCACAACAACGTGCAAAGCTTCCACAATACAAGTTGGGTAACGCAGACAAGGACCACAAAAAGTTGGACTTCTTTGGCAAGAAGGTATACTCCTCTTCTACCCTACAACTCAGAATATCGAACTACTCTGCTCTTTTAGCAAACCATGACTTTGACAATTACTCGAAACTGGGAGAGCTGATACCACATCTCCCTGAGTCTAAAAGATCCATCTTGAAAACAATAGTTCATGAGGGCCATATGATCGCCCGCACTGCTCTCCAAACCGCAATGGATGTTGCTGACACCGCAGCCCGAATTACAGCTACAGCGGTAGTCATGCGTAGAACCTCTTGGCTCCAGTCATCAGGAGTTCCCCGCGATCTCCAGCCTAAAGTAGAGGATCTGCCATTCGACAAGCACAAACTATTTGCAGCCACTACGGATGAAATACTCCATAACAGCAAAAATTCCAAGTCTACACTCCGCACGTTGGGCATGTGCACGCAGCCCTATAGACGCGGACGATACACCCCATATAACTCATACAACCGATACCGATATGGGCAATATAATAGATCACAGAGGCCCTATGAAGACACTAGACCAAGGCAACGAGGTCCCAGAAGACGCCACAACCAGGCCCGCCCACCAACTACCCAACCATCTAAACAGCAAATTTGAAGATTTGGTCGAGGGCCTGCGACACCCTGCTTACGATCTAGCACTACCCCAACATGGCCATCTGTTCACCCATCGTTTGCGCCCATTCCTTCCTCAATGGGAGTCCATAACATCGGACCGCTGGGTTTTGGAAATCATTCGAGTGGGCTACACCATCCCTTTCACCTCTATCCCCCCTACCCTTCCCCCTATCCCGTCCCTCTTCAGGGACCACTCTCACGAGACCCTTCTGAAACAAGAAATCGATCGACTCCTCCTCATCGGAGCAGTAGAAAGGGTACCCCGAGAGTTCCACGGGAGAGGGTTTTACTCGAGCTATTTCTTAACCGAAAAACGAACAGGGGGCTGGAGACCTATATTGGACCTCCGCAAACTGAACAAATTTCTCAAGAAACAACATTTCAAGATGGTCACACTCTCCACAATCATTCCTGCGCTAGATCAAGGGGACTGGTTTGCAGCCCTCGACCTCCAAGATGCCTATTTCCATATAACCATCCACCCCTCCCACAGACGTTACCTGCGCTTCATGTTGGGACCAGACCACTTCCAGTACAGGGTTCTCCCCTTCGGCCTCTCATCAGCCCCGAGAGTATTTTCGAAGGTACTGGCTGTCGCGACGGCATATCTCAGACGACAAAACGTCATCATATTTCCCTATCTAGACGACTGCCTCCTAAAGGGATCCTCGTACGCCGAAACAGCCTCTATGATACAGACGACCACGACCCTCCTCAGTCGTCTAGGCCTTCTAATCAACCAAGACAAGTCAACGCTGTATCCAGTTCAAGACATAGAGTTCATTGGTGCACGCCTGGACTCAGTGACAGCCCGGGCATACCTACCTCAACAACGTTTTGCAACTATGCAAGAAATTATAAATGGGATGCTTACAGTTCCTACCACCACAGTACTTACATGCCTCAGACTAATGGGCCACATGGCTTCCACCACCTATGTAGTCCACCATGCGCGCCTGCACTTTCGATGTCTTCAACTCTGGATGGCAACCGTTTATATCCCATCACGGCACCCTCGAAACAAAACGGTTACTATCCCACCAGACGTGCTGGGATCCTTACGATGGTGGACAGTGCCAAGCAATCTCTTGACAGGGGTTCCGTTCCAACAAACCGAACCCACTATCCAAATCACCACAGATGCTTCCCTGCTAGGCTGGGGGGCACATATGAACGGCCACGAAGTTCAAGGCAGATGGTCCCCAAACGAGACACACTTACATATCAATCTCCTCGAATTGAGGGCAGTAAGGAATGCCTGTGCACACTTTGCCTCCGACATCGCCAATCACACAGTCCGCATCCTAATGGACAACATCTGCACAATGTTCTACATAAACAGACAGGGTTCAGCCCGCTCCCGGTCTTTATGCGCGGAGGCTATTCGCCTGTGGAACTCGTGTATCCGCCATCGCCAATCACACAGTCCGCATCCTAACAGACAACATCTGCACAATGTTCTACATAAACAGGCAGGGTGGAGCCCGCTCCCGCTCTTTATGCGCGGAGGCTATTCGCCTGTGGAACTCGTGCATCCGCAACCAAGTCACCCTCATAGCGTCCTACTTGCCCGGGGTGAACAACATCAAAGCGGATTCACTCAGCCGAAACTTCGCTTTGAACCACGAATGGGAGTTACATACGGAGGTGGCGAACTCAATTTTCCACCAGTGGGGATGGCCATCGATAGACCTCTTTGCTTCTACCCAGAACACCAAATGTCCCCAATTCTGCTCACGTGCGGGACTTGGCAAACACTCTCTGGGAGATGCCTTCCTGATCAATTGGACAGCCTCCCTACACTACGCCTTTCCTCCCATACCGCTCATCCCGAGAGTCCTGCGCAAGATCCTGAGAGACAAAGCCCTAGTCATCCTGATTGCGCCATCATGGCCTCGACAAACCTGGTACCCATATCTTCACAGGCTAGCGGTCCAGCCTCCCTACCCGCTACCGTACCGGATAGACCTACTATCTCAGGACAACGGCAAGATATTGCACCCACAACTCAATACCCTGCATCTTCAGGCTTGGCTTCTCTCTGGTTCTCAGCGGTAGAAGATCGCTGCTCCCAGTGAGTAAAGGACATCCTTCTCCAGAGCAGGAGACAATCTACTCGTAAAACTTACCAACAGAAATGGTGTCAGCGACCCAAAGTGGAGCCCCGTGCCTCTCCATTAGATACCATTCTAGATTACATTCTGGACCTTAAAGCATCAGAACTCTCTGTCTCTTCCCTAAGAGTACACCTCTCTGCAATAGCAGCATTTCATACACCAGTAGATGGATTCTCCGTTTTCAACCACCCTATTACAAAAAGATTCCTCAAGGGACTCCAGAATGTATACCCACCACATAGGACTCCACCCCCCTTGTGGGACCTAAATCTTGTTTTGAACTACCTCACCAGACCTCCCTTTGAGCCACTGACAACAGTGCCACTTCCTTTCCTTTTTATGAAGGTCTGTTTCCTCCTAGCCATCACCTCAGTCAGGAGGGTGAGCGAACTTGGAGCGTTAATGTCAGAACCTCCTTACACAATTTTCACAAAGGATAGGGTCATACTTAGACCCCACCCCACGTTTTTGCCAAAGGTCGGTACAGAATTCCATATTAACGAACCAATCGTGTTACCTACCTTTTTCCCAAAACCGCACTCGTCGCAGACAGATGCCACTCTGCACACCCTGGACATCCGGAGGGCTCTGGCCTTCTTCCTAGAAAGAACAAAACCATTCCGTAAATCTGAAAGACTTTTTATCTCCATCGCTGAACGATCCAAAGGCACACCGATATCATCTCAACGAATCTCAAAATGGATATCTACATGCATAATTAAGTGCCACTCACTGGGCAATAGACCGCTGATATGCCCACCAAGAGCACACTCTACTCGAGCCACGGCTGCCTCCACAGCCTTTCTGAGCAATGTCCCCCTAAGAGACATTTACCGGGCAGCAACATGGTCTTCAGATCATACCTTTGCTAAACATTACGCCATTCTTCCACAACTTAAGAGTGACTCAGCAGTTGCCACGGCAGTGCTCTCCACCACTGCCAAACACTGACTCCGGCTCCCTCCAACCATATACTGGATACTGCTTTGTAGTCACCTACAGTGGAGCACCCACGGGGACACTACTCGAAGAAGAAAAGGGAGTTACTCACCTTGTGCAGTAACGACTGTTCTTCGAGATGTGTGTCCCCGTGGGTGCTCCACTGTAGGTGACTACAAAGCAGTATCCAGTATATGGTTGGAGGGAGGTGCAGTAACGAGTGTTCTTCGAGATGTGTGTCCCCGTGGGTGCTCCACGACCCTCCCTTCCTCCCCTCTGCTCGGAGTCGAAATTACTCGGGCGGAGACGAGGAACTGAAAGGGAGAGGGTTGAGTCACGCTCCTCAGGAGGCGGGAAGGGCTCGAGACGCCTCTTGGGCATGTGTGGCTCAACAGGGGAAACTGCTATAGAAAGCTCCGATCTGAAGCTCAGGGCGACCCTTCACCTACAGTGGAGCACCCACGGGGACACACATCTCGAAGAACACTCGTTACTGCACAAGGTGAGTAACTCCCTTTTTTGCTGTACTTTGAATGTGCTGATGCTGTGGTTTTTCATTAGCTTTCTCCTTGTAATTGTTTGTCTGCAGTGATAGTGGACTCTTCTGAAACATTTTTTCAACTTTTTGGTTTGCCATTTTTTTTCAATTGTTTGGAACTGCCAACTAAAAAGTCAGTTATTCACACAGCTCCACTGTAAGGCTTAATTGAAATTAGCAAGAAACTCAGCTGTTATCCTAATGAACACCATACAAATGCCCATAATTAAAAGAAATCAACAGACTTTTTAAAACACTGTTTTAATAGCATAAATTTAAGATATGTTTTTACATTTGTTAAGGATTGTACTGTCCCTGGCTTGACCATACAGGCAGTCCCCGGGTTACGGCAGTCCCCGGGTTACTTCAGTCCGACTTACGTCGGATCCCTAGTTATGAACGGGGGGAGGGGGGCCAACGCCTGGGGTAGAGCAGCTGGGTCGCTGCCGGGTTGGTCCCGCAGCGCCGCTCCTCCGTGCTACTGTACCACCCCGGCAGCACCCCAGCTGCTCTGCCCCAGGCGTCCTGATTCAGCCGCTGCTGAAACTGACCAG